AGGAAAATTGAGATACATATTAGCACATTAAAGCCTCTCAGAAGAACTGCAGTAAAGAAATCTGTTTAATGTTCTTTATTCTAGAGAGTTTAATCACAAACAGGTGTTTCATTAAAGAAACACCTATTCTTCTCCTTTGAACCACTTTGAGAAAGTCTTGTTGAACCAAGAGCCAGTGAATGCGATCACAGGCATCAATGATTAGAGTTTGAAGAGGTCATAGATTACTCAGACATGGTAACCATCGTTCTCACCAAAAGTGGACCTTAATTTGCCAAGCAAGTCCAAGTGAACGTTTTTCAAATGGGTTATGCTTTATAAAGCTAGAATACCATTTTCATCGTATAGCATGTTGCCTTTGGTTATTTCAAGCCAGCAACAGAGCCAATATCATATCCATCTATTACCATAGTAACTCTAGTACCTTTATGTTAAAATCTGAAATGCAAACTGTTATAACATTCCAACCGGGAATATCATAGCATCATAGGGCAAGGAGGATAAAGGCAAGGAAACTGGCTTCAGCCCTCCCCAGATCACTTCCAGGCTCCACCAGTCCCCAGTTGTGAGACCTCAGAAAGTCACTAAACCTTCCTAGAGCATAAAATATTCTCATCTTGAACGTGATGTTAATAGTATCTACCTCAGGGATTGCTATGAACATAAATAAGTCAACCTAAAGCCCTTGGCTCAGCCACTGGCTCAATAACCTAATGCTGCCATCATCACCATCGTTCCCACCATCATCATCATAACCTCCTCCAGTCCTTCAGGCACCGTCGATTTGGCTGTAAATTCCTGTTCAGCCAGTATCAGTGCCAAACCACTGAATCTCTCCTTCCTCCTGGTGCCAGGAAAGTAGGCTTTTAGCAAACAGAGTAAAAGATGAACATTCTGGCCTTGCTGAGGGCTTGGAGTTTTTTCATCTTGCTTTGTCTTGGCAGGAAAAAAAAGGAGCATTAGCAAATGAACATGTTGAAGATGTAAACAGCAATCAGGTTGATACACATCCCAGGGTGTGATGACATTGAGTCTTGCATGTTTCTGCTAAAATCAAAGTTCTAATCTAAGACCTTAGTTACGTCAAGTTATGTTTAACCATTGCCATGTTTAATTATTTCATTTCATTTAAATCACTCCAAAATTTGTTTCATTGTGAAAACTGTAGATTTATATTTTAAATTAGCTTATTACAATAAATTGACTTTTTTTTGGTGTAGATAGGGAAAAGTATTTAAAAAGTATAATAAACTTCAAACTGTTCTGGCTCCTCCTGCCCCTCCCCACCCCCCGTTTCTCCTCCTTTTCCCCACCCCTAATTTTTTTTTTTAACCCTCTGAAGGGAAGTTTTTCAACTTCAGAAATTTGGAGATACATGTTTGAATAATTTCTTCACTCAAATACCTTTGAAATACTCATCATTTATTTCATATGACAATAAAGAACACTTTCTTGCTTTAAAAACAAAAATAAATGGCTATGATTAAATTGTAAAGAGCTCTTAGAAATAGAATTTCTCTGTATGAAACAGAATTACATGTTCAACATCTGATAAAGGAATAGAAAACAAAAGATAAACTGAAGTTTGGCAATTCCCAACAGACATTTGATTCATGGCCCCTGTATGACTGGTGAATCATTGGATGTGACATCTTCTGTACCAGTCACTGCTGAAAGCTCCCACAGCCCAGGTAATTATGCCTGGTGATGGTGCACAGTCAAATTTGCTATCATCAGACCTGTACCTGCCTTTGTTCCACCTTAGAATGTTTTGTAAAATTGCCAGTTTTTAAACAGATGAGTTAATCATAACAAGGAATTGACAGAGTGGGAACATCCACAGGCGTCTTTCCCTCACCAGCACAGCATCACTAAGTAAAAAAAAAAAAAAAAAAAAAGCACATGACTTGTGTACCTCAGCTCTTGACTTGTCTTCAGCTCTGCTATATTTTTAACTCAAGTTAAAGAAACTGTTGGCTGGGCTCGGTGGCTCACGCCTGTAATCCCAGCACTGTGGGAGGCTGAGGCAGGTGGATCACTTGAGGTCAGGAATTCAAAACCAGCCTGTGCAACATGGCAAAACATGCCATAAAAAAAAAAAAAGAAGAAGGAAAAGAAACTGTTAAAGTCTTGGCCATGTGCTTCATTCAAATCAACTCTAAATTGCTGTGATCACGTTTAGGATTTTATATGCGTTGATTAAACCTCAAGAACCTCTCTAAGTAATTCCTTGTTTAGATACATCTCATTCTGTGTGTTGCTGGTTGCGTCATCACATTATTGATTACGGTAGCAGGCATTTGTTTCATTCACCCTGGTCCACGTCCCTTAGTCTGAATTATTTCAAGGATTTTACCTTGCTCACTTCTATAGGAATAACCTTATAAACTTAGCAGCCCAAAATGTTTCTTTTTCTTAAATTTCTTTCCTTATCGGGCTTGCTCTCTTTATTTTTTTATTTTTATTTTTTTTTGAGACGGAGTTTCGCTCTTGTTACCCAGGCTGGAGTGCAATGGCGCGATCTCGGCTCACTGCAACCTCCGCCTCCTGGGTTCAGGCAATTCTCCTGCCTCAGCCTCCTCAGTCGCTGGGATTACAGGCATGCGCCACCATGCCCAGCTAATTTTTTGTATTTTTAGTAGAGATGGGGTTTCACCTTGTTGACCAGGACGGTCTCAATCTCTTGACCTCGTGATCCACCCGCCTCGGCCTCCCAAAGTGCTGGGATTACAGGCTTGAGCCACCGCGCCCGGCCGCTCTCTTATTTTTAATAGCTCTCAAAAAAAAACTGTCCTAATAGACAGATAAATAGACTTGACATGCTTCTCTTAATATCACACTATTTTCTAAGAATTTATTTTTCTACTGTGAATTTCAGATTTATTTTAATTCCCTTAACCTCATTCAAGCATGCAGAAACTAATTAATCAGAAAGAATTCACTCAAAATTTGTAATTATTTATTTTTTATATATATTTTATTGCGTTTTAGGTTTTAGGGTACATGTGAAGAACATGCAAGATTGTTGCATAGGTACATACATGGCAATGTGGTTTGCTGCCTTCCTCCCCATCACCTATATCTGGCATTTCTCCCCATGTTATCCCTCCCCAACTCCCCACCCCCTGCTATCCCTCCCCTAGTTCCCTCCTACATACCTCAGTGTGTGATGCTCCCCTCCCTGTGTCCATGTGTTCTCATTGTTCAATACCCGCCTATGAGTGAGAACATGCGGTGTTAGATTTTCTGTTCTTATGTCAGTTTGCTGAGAATGATGGTTTCCAGGTTCATCTGTGTCCCTACAAAGGACATGAACTCATCATTTTTTATGGCTGCATAGTATTCCATGGTGTTATATGTGCCACATTTTCCCTGTCCAATCTATTATCAATGGGCATTTGGGTTGGGTTCCAAGTCACTATTGTAAACAGTGCCGCAATGAACATTCATGTGCATGTATCCTTATAATAGAATGATTTATAATCCTTTGGATATACACCCAGTAATGGGATTGCTGGATCAAATGGAATTTCTATTTCTAGGTCCTTGAGGAATCGCCACACCATCTTCCACAATGGTTGAACTAATTGACACTCCCACCAACAGTGTAAAAGTGTTCCTATTTCTCCACATCCTCTCCAGCATCTGTTGTCTCCGGATTTTTTTAATGATTGCCATTCTAACTGGTGTGAGATGGCATTTCAATGTAGTTTTGATTGGCATTTCTCTAATGACCAGTAATGATGAGCATTTTTTCATATGTTTGCTGGCCTCATATATGTCTTCTTTTGAAAAGTGTCTGTTCATATCGTTTGCCCACTTTTGAATGGATTTGTTTTTTTTTTCTTGTAAATCTATTATAGTTCTTTATAGATTCTGGATATTAGCCCTTTGTCAGATAGGTAGATTGCAAAAATTTTTTCCCATTCTTTTGGTTGCCAGTTCACTCTAGTGGTTGTTTAGTTTGCTGTACAGAAGCTCTGGAGTTTAATTAGATCCCATTTGTCTATTTTGGCTTTTGTGACCAATGCTTTGGGTGTTTTAGTTATGAAGTCCTTGCGTATGCCTATGTCCTGAATGGTTTTACCTAGGTTTTTTTCTAGGGTTTTTATGGTGTTAGGTCTTATGTTTAAGTCTTTAATCCATCTGGAGTTAATTTTAGTGTAAGGTGTCAGGAAGGGGTCCAGTTTCTGCTTTCTGCACATGGCTAATCAGTTTTCCTAACGCCATTTGTTAAACAGGGAATCCTTTCCCCATTGCTTTTGTGAAGTTTGTCAAAGATCAGATGGTTGTAGATGTGTGGTGTTGCCTCCAAGGCCTCTGTTCTGTTCCATTGGTCTATATCTCTGTGTTGGTACCAGTACCATGCTGTTTTGATTACTGTAGCCTTGTAGTATAGTTTGAAGTCAGGTAGCGTGATGCCCACAGCTTTGTTCTCTTTGCTAAGAATTGACTTGTCTATGCAGGCTCTTGTTTGGTTCCATATCAAGTTTAAGGTGGTTTTTTTCCAGACCTGTGAAGAAGGTCATTGGTAGCTTGATGGGGATGTAATCATTTTAAATTACTTCCCCTCTTTCATGTTTTCTGAATTTTTTCTCAATTACTAAATGCCAGCTAAAACTCTTATTGGCAAAACTCCATCATGAGTTTTTCTCTTTGTTTCTTCTTGATAGTCATTTTTTTAGCCACTGGACCAATATACAATTTGCATAGTTGATGTCATGTATTTTATACTATTTGAACAAAAGCCACTTTAAAATGCTTTTTCTTACGGGAACGTTGGTGGGGGAGGGAAGGTGTGGTTGACAGTGAGGAGTTTCAAAACCTCACACTACCATGTAAGTGTGAAGAATGTTTATAAATGTTATAAAAATAACATTCCCCCTGCAATGTTAAGCCTAGTTCTCTCTCACTCTCCTGAATTGCCAGCATCTCCTCAAGGGACTCCAACCAGTCCCAGGTCTGCAGACATGAACTCAAATGCAGCACTCTCTCTACAGGTGTACCTGGCAGCAGGCACTGTGTATGGACTGGAGAGCCAGCTGACTGAGCTGGAAGATGCCGCCCGCTCCATCCACAGTGGCACTGAGGAGACCCATCTGGCAGATCTGGAGGACCAGGTGGCCACGGCTGCAGCCCAGGTTCACCATGCTGAACTCCAGGTGAGAACTCTCCTCTCTGCCCACATGGGGTCCTGCAGGGGGAAAGAGGGAGCCCCATGTTCCACAAGAATCACTTTAAAGCCATTGTATCTGCCAGCTCGCATCATCTCCACCATGCTTGCATGGGTATGGTCCTTCCAGATGGATTCTACCAAATTCTCCTTTTAAAAGTATAGTCCTCTTCTGTCCCAAATTAAAGCCTTGATAATATATATTGGACTGCTCTTTAAAACCTTATGCCAGTTTCCTCTGAGAAATTTCCTGACCCATACATAGGTCTCTCTACTATACAGGTTGCCATTCCACTTCAAGACTATCCTTTTCTGACCCTTATCACACTGTTGATTACTTAGTCAGTGACAGTATTCCCCAGTATAGACTGAAAGCTCCATGAAAATGGAACTGTAGCTGTGTGGCTTAACATGTAACTCCAGTGCCTAGCACAATACCTGGCACAGATTTAGCACACAGTAAAAATGGGGTGAATAAGTGAAGGAAATTGGAAGCATATAGATTTCTCAGGACAATATTTTTCACGAGGAGCAGGCAGGATTTAGACACGGCTATTTAAAACTGATTGACATAGTCTCTATAATTTTGTAAAGATGGCTGTTTGCAGTTTTCATTGATATTCCCTTAACCTTTGACTCTGTAAATCAAAACTGACCATGGATTAAGCCACTGATTTTCAAACTGGGGTCTGCAGATATATTCTCAGGACCCATGACAATTTTTTTTCTTTAAAGTTTGAGAGACCCTGGTCTCTGCAGCTTCAGCTCAGTATAGACCCCTGGTTTGCTGATATTTCTATAGACCCTTTGTCTTAAAACTGAATCATTGGGAGAACTGTGGTCAATAGAAACCGTATCTGAATAGAAACATAAATCAAAAAAAAATGCCTGAAGGGAGTCTTAGTCATTTTAGAGGGATTTTTTTTTTTTTTTTTTTTTTTTTTTTGCTAAGATTGAGGATGCACACAGAAAAAAAGAGAAACCACAGTACAATCTGTGGCTCATACTTTTTCCTAACAGGATTTTGAGGGTTTCAATACTTCAAGGGGAAAAGTGGGCAGGAGTGGAAAGGGGTGGAGGGAAAGAGGGAGCGTTTGGTCACATTCTTGTGAATCTGCAGGTTGCACATGAAAAGGAGGGGTAAAGGGAGTGGTCAGTTACTTATTCATCTTGCACTCAGCAAATCTGTGCTTTGCATAAGATAAAGTAAAAGTAAAAGAGAGTAGAGGAAGCAGTCAAATATCCACTCATTTTCAGATGGGTGAGTGACAATTTCTAGTTTCCTCTTGTCCTGTACACATGAAAATAAGCTGTTAATTGTCAGGGTGACAGAGGCCCCCTGTGAAGACATGTGGCCTTCTATCTGTAGTTATCAGTTTAGGAACAAAAGGAAAGGCAGGGTTTTTTCTTATTTTTGCGGGGGATGGGGGGGCATTTGTGACTCAGCTTCCAAACTTAGCTTCTCCGTCTTGGTATCATGAATTGGGGGTCCCGAGATTTTATTTTTGTTTCACAAGGAAGATGACAATCTTAGGTGATAATTATTTTAAAAGTAAATATTTTCACTTTATTGAGTCAAAAATATAACTCCTGACATCATTAACCACTCTAGAGAATGAAAGGGCACAGTTCCCCACTCTGGACAGGTTAATGCTGTGAACTAGAAATAAGCCCATCAGACAGATGACTCCATTGACTATTATCAGTAAGAATGGCTGAACAGCAGTTCTTCTCAAAATAAATTATTTCCCATAAATTTCACCGAAGACTTAATCAATTTATTGTCAAAGTTATATGAAGTAGAATCAGATCACTTATTTTCTGTTACACTGCGTAGCAAATACTTCTTGAATGACTGCAGGAAGTAATATTTATGGGTGTTTGGGAGGGTTTTATTGGATAACTAGTTATTCCTCCTTCCACATTTTTCTATACTTAAATTATTGGAGCTGTGTTTTATGGCATAAAACTCTGGAGTTCCAAATGTCTATTTTTCTATATGCTTAAATGTGCCTATTAATTTATCATTCATTTTTAAATATTACAATAATGTTATCAGTAATTCCCAATGCTCTGTGAGCATTATTTTGTACCAGGTATTTATCCTTACACTTTACCACATTATTGTATTTATTTTTTTCAGCAACCCCATAAGGGAGCTACTGCTACTATTCTCCTTTTATATCTGAGGAAACTTAACCAAGGTCAAATACCTAGAAAATGAGAAAACCTGAATTTTAACCCAAATTTTGTGACCTCATAGCCCATGATTTTTCTCTTTTGAGATGGAGTCTCTGTCGCCCAGGCTGGAGTGCAATGGTACAATCTCAGCTCACTACAACCTCCACCTCCCTGGTTTAAGCAATTCTCCTGCCTCAGTCTCCCAAGTAGCTGGGATTACAGGCGTGCACCACCATGCCCGCTAATTTTTGTATTTTTAGTAGAGACGAGGTTTCACCATATTGGCCAGGCTGGTCTCAAACTCCTAACTTCAAGTGATCGACTAGCCTCAGCCTCTGAAAGTGCTGGGATTACAGGTGTGAGCCACCGCACCAAACAGCCCACATTCCTAACCAGTCTGTGCTGTGCCATTTCCTGGGAAATGTGTTGGTCCTGCCCTCAGGCATACATGCACTTGCCTAGGTGTCCTTAATTTGCATGGGAGGCTGTTGACCCTGCCCTCAGCTTTGCAGATTATCTCAACTACACTTCCAGGCATGTGGAAATTCTCCCTACCTGGCTAACTGGTGCCCGAGAGTGAAGCCTCCAACTCCCTGTTATCTGTTCCCATGCAAAGTCTAGTGTCACAGAGGGTTTCTTGCAGGATGGTAGGAGGGTCCTCATTGAGGAGGGTACATATGCTAAATTGTGTTCTTGGGTTAGGGCAGATTCTAAGGATGCTATCAATTTAGAGTTTACCTTTGAGACGGAGTGCTGTTGCCAAGTACTGAAGAGACTGCAGACTGGCCCTTGAGAAGCAGGCTAAGGGTGCTGTCCACTGCATTATGCAAGGCTGTGTCTATGAGAATTCCTGGAGAAAGCCTCTCTTAACTCTTAGTGTCAGGACAGGCTGCTCTTCTGAGTACCTGGTCTCTAATCTTGTAGACATGGAGCTGTTGGCTTTGGCTCCCAGGAAACTCAGAGCTGAATTAGTCATCCCCTTCTAGCAAAGCATGGCTCCTTGGACGTGCAGGTCTAGAAGTGGGACATAATTATACGGCGACATCACTGAAGTGGGACATAATCATAGAGAGACAAGATACAGGCAAAATCAGCCCTCAGTAGTCTCCTGCTTCTTTGTCCTTTGTCCTGTGAACTGAAACTTGAAAAATTAAGCCTTTCTCATTCCAGAACCTGACAGTCCACAAATGAAGAGGTCAGCAGCTTGCTTTCCCATTGACCTTGTCTCTCCCGGGGTGCTCTGAGCAAGGCCCTCCATCAAAACTGCTTCTAGGGAAGAATGTGAGCATCTAATCCACACCAGTTGCTAAAGACTGGTAAAAGCTTAGCCTGCAACTTTTCTCAGAGGCTTGTGCAGTTTATTGGTTCATAAACCAAAGAATGTAGTTCTTAATGTGAAATGTGAAGATTCAGAACAGAAAAGCATCTGGGGGCCAGGAAGGGCAGGGCTCAAATGGCACTTCTGGGGCCAGCTACTGAGTAGCTTGTGTTCTCTTACCAGCTGCCACAGACTTGGCCTTCACCCACCTCTCCTCCTTTTCTGACCATGACTGCCACCCCTCAGGGGTAGGGGAAGCATCTCCCAAATTTGCTGACCCTTCACTCTTTCTGTGCACCTCCTATAGCTCCTACCCCAGTAGACTTTGTTCAAAGAAGCCCTCAATAAATGACAGCAGAATTCCAATTTGTCTTGAGTAGCACAGAATTGTGGAGGGCTAGGAGGCAATGGAGACTTCATGCGTGGAGCACACACACATTGACTGGGGTCTACATTAAGGTTATTGTTTGATGCCCTAGCAACATCAGAATGTACCATCTCAGTAGAATCTTGACCTCTTCCCTTGACTTTGCTAGCCTTTCCCTGCCTTTTTCAGTGTCCCCCATGCTAGGCCTTGGCACATCCTCTGAGACTGTGGCAGTGTGACAAGAGCATGGCCGCTGACATGAATTCCATGCACTGCCCAGATTGGCTGTGAGATGATGGGTGTATCACTTATCCCTTTGAGCCACAGTTCCTTTATCTGTGAAGCCAAGATAATGGTACTTACTTCATAGAATTGTTTTGAGACTTATGTATTTAAAACATGTAGCATGGTGCCTGGCACATCATAATTACCTTTTCTAAGAGCAGGAACAGTATCTTTATCCCTGGGGACAGGGGAGGACCAGGGTTTTCTCTGGGCATTAAGTGGGTCCTTACTTTCTATTTCTGCATTCAGACTCTGCTGAAAGGAAATCTGAGCTCTCTCTTGACCTTCCCATGTTGTGAATTAGGAAAATGATGCCCAGAGAGGGAAGAGAGTTTCTCAGGGCTGGTTGGCTTCTTAATGGAGACAGACTTGAACCAGGGGCTGCTAGGCGTCCCTTCTAAAACCTGGTGCTGTGGTTTTGGATTCATGAAGTTACAGAAGAAGGAAGCAGGACATGTAAATCATAACTTATCCTTCAAATGTTACCTTCTATCACTTCCCTGACGGCTCCTCACCCCTATGCTGAGCCAGGTGGCCCTGGGCCAGGGTCCCCTATTGTGCCCCCAGGCTTTCATTTATCCATAGGCATACCCTGACAGGGTTGTTGACATGCTCTAGAGCTAACAAACTAGAAATTTAAATTTATAAAGAAAGACCTGTGTTTTATTTTCTTGCTACACACTAGATAGAGAAGTGCGTGGTAGAAGTTGAATGAATGAATGAATGAGCATACATCAAAGCAGATTTGTCTTTATGAATTCCTAACACTTTTAACAGATATTCTCCCTTCTGTATTTTCTCCCTACCAATCCTGTTTTTCTGTTGCTTTAAGATTTCTGACATTGAGAGCCGGATTTCAGCCCTGACCATTGCAGGATTAAACATAGCACCATGTGTGAGCCTCACAAGAAGACGGAATCAGAAGCAAAGGACCCAGGTGTGTTTGTCCCTTTCTCCCTCTGTTGCAGTGTTACATGGCTTGGAAAATTTAGACGATAAATTATCTTTCGCTCTACAAAGGTATATTGCTCACTGTGCTCTGTTTGTAGGTACAAACCATAGACACATCCAGGCAGCAAAGGAGGAAACTGCCTGCTCCACCAGTGACAGGTATGCTAAATTAAAACCAAAACGCTACCAAAGAATTAAGCCTGGATCATTTACTTTGGGTAACTCAGAGACCTGAGTTTGAGAATTAGATCTAATGGAGGGTTCTCACACAGAATTGCTCTTGTCTATCATGACTTGGGTCCCCCCAGAAGTAAACCCTGGGACAAGGATAGGAGCAAAAGTAGCTTGTTTAGGAGGTGATTCCAGGGAACACTGGTAGAGAAGAAGAGAAGGGATTCACAGAAAGAAATTAAGTCAATCAATACAGGCTACTTGAATTAGGGGTTACTTCTTTGGGCAAATAATGCTAAGTCCTCCTGGTGACCTCTGGGAGACAATGTTGGCTGCACCTTTGAGTTTTCTGCCCAGAGGGCAGGAAGATGGGGTATTTGTTCTTAAACTCCCATCCATCTCTGGCTGAGAGTTACTTCTGGGGACAGTAACTCCCTGGTACTTCTGACCTGCCCCATGCATGAACCAAGACACAGTGGCGGTACTTGCAGTAGGATCTGTTGGAATGTGCTGGAAGGGTGACTGTCAGGGAGAAGTGAACAGAACAACAATAGTATCTGCCACAGGGCCCAACCTGGAAAGGATTCCAGGAATGCCAGTCACATCACCTTTATCTAATGGACACTTCTCAGCCAATGCCCTGGGTTCAGAGGCCACATAAGGATGATGCCAAACTAGAAATTTAGATTTACAAATTAGAAAACTAATGAAAGAAAAAAAAAAAAAAAAAAAAAAAAAAGGGAAAAAAAAAAAAGATTTACAAATTACAGGAGCAAAAGTCCAAAGATGTGCATTTGAACCTTGGGTCTGCATTGATCACTTAACAAACATTTACTGAACGTTTATGATCTATAAAACTGTATGCAGTTAAAATTTATCACAGATCCACAATCCTTTATTTGAAACCCTTGTGTCCATATGTGCTTCATAATTTCTTGGGCATTAGAAAGGTAATATACTACCTGTGCTTTATATGTCTTAACACCCCCCATGGCATCTGGGCAGCATCTGAAAATCAAACACATGAATATCCTACAGCAGAGTATAAGAACATTTGCACTCTGTGAGATGGACAAGGACAATAAATGGCCTCATGTCACTTCAGGCCAGGTTTTGAAATCAGACTATTTTGGCCCCAAAGTTGTAAAAAAATTGCAAGTTTTAGAACTTTTCTATTTCAGGACTGCACATCAGTATTTTTGAACTGTCCTGGGTTGTCTCTGAGCTATTGTTTCCCAGAAAGCATTCTACAATGCCCCTGACTTATTTGTCCATCATAAAAATAAACACAAAACAAAAATATCCCGTAGTCAAACACAGTTCAGGAATGAGATGGCAAGTCTAGAACAAAAGTCTGAGTAATCTGGCCACCTCGTTTTTTCCTTAACAATTGGTCCATCTTTTGGGTGACATTTTTTTCCCATTTATTTCCTTTTAGCTGAAAAAATTGAGACATCTTCAGTGACCACCATTAAAACATTTAACCGCAACTTCATTCTCCAAGGCTCCTCAAAAAACAGGACTAAAGAAAGGAATATCACCACCAAGGATTTGATGGTAAATGTCATCTCTGTCTTCATGTTCATCCCTTTCACTGTTGAGGGTACCTCCATTCTGCAGCCTTTCCTTCTGTAGCTCCCCCTTCAGAACCCCAAAAAGTATACTTCCTCCATGGTCTTATGGTCTGTTGGATTTGACTGGGGGGTGGATTTAGCAGTAAACCAAGAGCAGAGTGCTTGGCTGAATAAGGCCGTGAAGCATGCACACACCACCCATCACCCTCCTCAAATGGTACCCTAAAAATCACTATTACTAATAACTTTCTCTCATATATAGAGAGAAGTTGTAACATGATAAGTGTACTGGAAAGTGCATTTGGACAAACCAAAGTGTAACTTAACCCAAAGCATCTCGCTTATACCCGGAAGATTTCATCATGACCTGATCACTTGGAGCCAACTCCAGCCCCAAATCTCACTGAAAATATTATGAAACTATCTTAAACAAACCATTTACCTTAGACAAAAGTACAGGCGATAGAAAATTTTACCCTGGCGCAATAGACATAGTACCGTAAGGGAAAGATGAAGGAACTGTATCGAGCACTAAAAAGCAAAGACAAGCCCTTATACCTTCTGCATAATCTATTAACTAGAAATAACTTTACACAGAGAACTATAGCCAAGTCCCCTGAAACCAGACGAGCCACCCAAGAACAGCTGAAAGAGCACACTCACCTATGTGGCAAAATAGTGGGAAGATTCATGGGTAGCAGTGACAAGCCTGCTGAGCCTGGTGATAGCTGGTGTCCAAGATAGAATCTTAGTTCCATTTTAAATTTACCCACAGAATTACTTAATCTCCCTGTAAGTTTAACTGTTAGTCTAAAGATGGACAGCTCTTTAGACCCTAGGGAACAACCTTCCTACAGAGAGTAAAAAATGTTAGTACCATAGTTGGCCCAAAAGCACCCACCAATTAAAAAAAGTGTTTAAGTTCAACATCTAATTATCTTAAATTCTAATCACTCTACTGAACTCCTGACATCACATTGGACTAATCTATTACCTAATAGAAGCAATAGTGTCCATATAAGTAACATGAAGACATTCTTCATTGCATAAGCTTACATCAGACCCAAGTAACCCCCTGACAGTTCAAACCTTAATATTAATAAATGATATAATAAGCACCCTATTATTTACACTGTTAACCTAACACAGGTGTTCTCTAAGGAGAGATTACTAAAAGTAAAAGGAACTCAGCAGGCCGGGCATGGTGGCTCACGCCTATAAGCTCAGCACTTTGGGAGGCCGAGGCGGTGGATCACGAGGTCAAGAGATCGAGACCATCCTGGTCAACAAGGTGAAACCCCGTCTCTACTAAAAATACAAAAATTAGCTGGGCATGGTGGCACGCTCCTGTAGTCCCAGCTACTCGGGAGGCTGAGGCAGGAGAATTGCCTGAACACAGGAGGCAGAGGTTGCGGTGAGCCGAGATCATGCCATTGCACTCCAGCCTGGGTAACAAGAGTGAAACTCCGTCTCAAAAAATAAATAAATAAAAGGAACTCAGCAAATCATACCCCACCTGTTTACCAAAAACACCACCTCTAGCATTGCCAGTATTAGAAGCACTGCCTGCCCAGTGATGTGCTCAACGGCCGCAGTATCCTAACTGTGCAAAGGTAGCCATCGCTTGTTCCCTAAATAGGGACTTGTGTGAATAGCCACATGAGCATTCAACTGTCTCTTACTTTTAATCGGTGAAATGGACCTATCCGTGAACAGGTGGATATAAACAAGACAAGAAGACCCTATGGAGCGTTAATTTATTCATGCAAATAAAAACTCAAGCATACAGGCTCTTCTAGCCTATTATCCCTGCATTAAAAATTTTGGTTGGGTGACCTCGGAGCATAATTCAATCTCCAAACAACCTAAACTAAGACCACACTAGTCTAAGCAAGTTAATACACGCTGACCCAATAATTTGATCAATGGAATAAGTTACCCTAGTGATAACAGCACAATCCTATTCCAGAGTCCACATCCACAATAGGGTTTACAACCTCGATGTTGGATCAGGACATCCTAGTGGTGTAGCTGCTATTAACTGTTTAGCAGTAAGGACGGGGTTCTAAAACTAAGTAACATCCTGCCTGGTGTATATCTCTTTAATATGTGGGTATACTCAACTGTATCTCCAGCTCCTTGTAGAGAGCAGGTTTAATATAAGAGAAATAAAAATATGTAAATAGGAGATTAAGGTTTGGTTGAGGTGTAAGAGTTTTTATTCTGTTTTCAATCCATATCCACTCTTCCTTAAATTTCTCATTAGCCATTAATGCTGTGTTCCTGAAAAAAGTCAGCAGCTACTCCTAAATGTAGCAAATGAAGAGAAAGCAAATAATTTGCATGAACTCTAGAAATTATACAGAGAAATCTGTTGGATCTTTTGCTTAAAAACTGTCAGTCAAGAAAAATGAGACAAGTCTCAATCATTTTACAAGGTTTATTTGCCAAAGTTAAGGATGCACCTGCAGAAGACAGGTGTATGCCTTACTCTAAAGATGATATTAAGGGCTCCAAATTTAAAGGGGAAAAGGCAGGATATTGAGAAGTACACAATTTTCATGTAAGAGAGGGGTAGAGAAAAATAGTCATTTGTGCCTTTGTCCAGCTCAGTGAATCTGCCTTTTTATTTTAACATCAAATGACATAGACAAATGGGGCAGAGGGAAAGTGCAGAGAATCTGTATCTTTATATAAGATAACATGGACAAAATGGGGCAGGGGGACAATCAGATGTGCATTTGTGTCTGGTGGGCAGGGAGCGACTGCATCTGTAAAAGTAAGCTATCAATTTACATTGCCATGGTGAAATTTTAACAGAGACACCTTAGGGTAAAGATCTTAGAGCTCACTAGGAATTTCCATGTGGGCAAAATATGGGGGAGGCGTGTAGCTTTTCATCTTGTAGCCATCTTATTTAGGAATCGAAAGGAGAAGCAGGTTTGAATGACTCAGTTCCCAGCTTGACTTTTCCCTTCAGCTTAGTGATTTGGGGAACCCCCAGGTTTGTTGTCCTTTCACAAAACCAACATAACATGCCAAAATTCTGGCAAGTGCTTGATGCTGCTGCAGAACAAAGGACCATCTAACTAAGCTGTCTCCGTGACACCAGTTATGTGGAGGCCAGATCGTGTCTCAGATGACAAGAAGGAAGCAAGGACAAATTTATTCTGTTCTCTTTTATCCTTCACCCGTTCCCCACTTCTTTTTCCTCCCCATCATTGTCCCTGTCTCATGAGCACAGAAGCACCAGGTAATGCCATAATGGTGGGCACATCCTTTTGAATTCCAGGTTACTCTTGGGCATTATGTGGCGATAGCTCCCCTCACTGCCTTCTCTTCACTGGTCAGTCATTAACCCTGACCTTGCAAAGTCTAATTCCCTTGCTTCTGACCATTATTTCACAGTGCTGAAAAAGATGCATTATCACACTAAAAGTGCAGACCACTAGGGTCAGGGAAGGAATTGGTTATAAATAAGCAAGTTAAAAATAAATTGTCTTTCATAGAGACAGACATAGATTGGTGGCTGCCAGAAGTTGTGGGAAAGGGGAATGGGAAGAAACTCCTTAATAAGTAAGGGGTTTTACTTCAGAACAACAGAAATTTATTGAAAGTAGATAGAGGTGGTAGTTGTACAACCTTGTGAGCATTCTTAATGCCACCAAATTGTTCACTTTAGAATGGTTTGTATGGCTTTCACCTCAATAAGTTTAATAAAAATAAATTACCTTAAAGTAACACAGAGAGGTTAAAAACAAAAGAATAGACAATATTTTTTTCCGAGACGGAGTCTCACTCTGTCACCCAGGCTGGAGTGCAGTGGTGTGCTCTCGGCTCACTGCAACCTCCACCTCTGTGGTTCAAGCAATTCTCCTGCCTCAGCCTCCCGAGTAGCTGGGACTACAGGCGTGTGCTATCACACCCGGCTAATTTTTTGTATTTTTAGTAAAGACAAAGTTTCACCATGGATGGTCTCAATCTCCTGAACTTGTGATCCACCTGCCTCAGACTCCCAAAGTCCTGGGATTACAGGCTTGAGCCACCACACCTCAGCAGCAATATTTACTAAATAAATAAAAGCAAAATAGGGCAGAAATAATTACTTTCAAAGAGAGGAGAATTCTAGATAAAAAGCAAAACAAGGAGGAAATATATTTTAATTTTGATAAAAGAAACTAAGTCATGAGCTTTTCTTGATTTGGCAGATAACAGAGCAACACAATTTACCGTGCAATGGTTGGTGACTTTAAAACTGTCTTAGCCTTTGGCAGCCCAAGTACCCCATAAATACATACAAATTAGAGAACTGAATAGGGTAACTGTTAAGATGCTTATCTAACTTTATAGATTATTCACTCTCTTTGCAGGCATCAATGGACCATTTATAAAAATTGATTTTACACAAATCACAAAGAATACCTCAATAAATTCCAAGAAGTAAGCCCTCTGTGATCACAGTGCTGAACATGATCTCGAGCAGTGCCGTCTAATGTAACTGTGTAATAAGGGCAGTGGTCCATATCTGCAGTGACCATTACAGTGGCCACTAGCCATATGTGGCTACTGAGCACTTGAAATGTGCCTACTGCATTGGGAGAACTGATTTTTAAATTTTAGTTAATTTTAGTTAATCTGAATGTAAATAGCCACATGTGGCTAGTGGCTGCCATGCTGGACAGGACCAATGTAGAAAATTAGAACAAAAGTTAAAAAACAGTAACCCTACTTAGAAGTTGAAAACCACTTGTACTCACATACACAACGGTACATACACATACACATGCACACTCACACACACACACTTCAAAGTAACTACTGAATTGGAGAGAAAAAGCCACAGGGCACTTACAAAATGAAAACATTACATATATCAAAGCAAATAAGACACATATAAAACTATACTGCATCAAATTTATAGTATTAAATATTTTATTCCTTGTTAAAAAAGAAAACAAATTAACTAGACATTGAATTGCAGACATCAAAAATAAACACAAAAAACATTTCATGAAGACCAGAAACTACAGAAATGATCTCTCTAGATCTACATCTAGGAGTTATTTGAAAGAAATAGAAATGTTTTGTAAGTCACATGAAGAAAAAAATTGAAAATAAAACAAAAGATTATATAAAAAGATGTCAATTTTTAATAAAAATATACAATGTGACGTAAAACCATTCTCATAAATTTAGAATCAATACTAGTCAAATCAGAATCAAATCAGAAAAATAGCAAAAACTTAAGAAATAAAGAGAAACCTAAAATTTATTAAACCTTTCAGAAAGATTCTGTGGCCAAATGATTTTGCTGATAAATTTTTAAAGAACAGTTAATTCCCATACCATATAAAATATTCCAGGTCATCAAAAAATTGAAGACGAAAAGATTCACATTGTGAAGCTGTCATAACCCCAATCACGAAAGCCTGATCCATGGCTGATAAGTATGTATACATGTTCTGTGCCCATCACACACAGGCACGCACAGACACACGAAAATTGTTACACCAGTTGTACTTCTTCAGAGATGAAGAATGTGAAATAAAATATTAACCAGTTAAAGAGCAGTGAATTCAATAAATTACAGTAGACTAAGCGAGGTGGCTCACACCTATAATTTCAGCACTTTGGGAGACCAAGGTGGGTGGATCACTTGAGGCCACGAGTTCAAGACCAGCCTAAGCAACATAGTGAGACTTGTCTTTACAAAAAATAGAAAAATTAGCCAGTCATGGTGGCATGTGCCTGTAGTCCCAGCTACTGGAGAGGTAAGGGGAGGATCCCTTGAGCCAAGGAGTTTGAGGTTGCAGTCAGCTATGATCACACCACTGTACTCCAACCTGAGCAATAGAATGAGACCCTGTCTCTGAATGAATGAATAAATAAATAACAGGTAGATTTTGTGAGAATGCAAGAATAGCTCAAATATTTTTATGTCAATTACCCCTTTTATGCTGGAGGTTGCAGTTTTTTGAATTTTTGCATGAGTAAAATATCAGACTTTGATGATGACCTTGAGCAGTAGGAAATAACTCCACATGCTTAGTGTTCCAATAATGGAACACTAGGCATAAGTGGATTTTAATAAATCACATCAACAGTTCAATAAGAAAAGTCATTTCTTTCCAAATTAATTTGTAGCTTAATTCTCATTAAAAAAAACTCAGTGAAATTTTCCTTGAATTAAAGTCCATTTAATAATAAATCAGAAAGGATAGACAAAAGCACTTCACAAAATTACAGAGATTTTCCTCCCAGATTTTAAAACAAAAGCTGAAATGAAACTGACCATTAATGAAATAGCCCAGAAATAGATACAGGCACATATAAGAATGTGTTATATTATCTTTGTAAAAGATTTAGAAACTAGTAAAGAGGATATGATTATTAAACAAACACTAACACTGTGCTTGGGATACTGGACACTGGGATGGTAGTGGGAAAGAAGGTACATTTGATAATTACCTTATTCCAAATACCAAAATTAATTTCAGGTGGATTAAGAAGTATGCATTTAAAAATGACATCAGTTTTTAAATGTTGTGAAATATCTAACTGGTCAATAAGCATGAATAGCTTTTGGTATAAAAAGCAGTAAACATTATTTTTCATTGCTTCTTCTCACTCTTCCCAAGTGGCTGATGAGAGTGTGTTCAATGTCTCACCTCAGGAGCCTGCTCTGGAGTCAGCTGTGATGTACTGATGCCATGGAACTCCACTGCCAGTGACCCACTGCCTCCGGCCGTACACGACAGTGCCTTGACCCAACAGCCATCGAGTACTGTATGGATTTCCACCTGAGGAGAAGGCCTGGGGAGGCCACAGTGCCCCATTGCACAGGGCTGTCCCGATACCTCACCCAGAAAGCCGTCTCAGACTTCAGCATTGCGGTCTTGCCCACTCTCTGCCTTAGGCTCCCAGGGGAATCCAAGACAGAAAACCAAGACACTGGCTTCCAACAGCAGAGCTCCATGTTGAAGCTACGTATTTTCCCTGTTTGCTTTGCTACTATGTGTTGACTTTAAGATCTTTTTTTAAGCCCTTTGATTCAGCTAGTATTCCATGTCAACAAGTTGTCCAAAGGAAAACTGTTGGAGGGGCGTAGAGGGAGGAAGGTGGGAATTATTATTTAATATAGCATGAATGCTTACTAATCTCTCAGAAGCATCTTCATCTTGCAAATCCTAAGGGAAAAGCGAGTCCCTGCAGTGAGCACTAGGGACAGTCTAATTTTGGCATTGCTCAACCATCAAGTCTGCAGGTCTCCCTTCGGCCACCTCCTTCCTGCGAAGCTCTTAGCCTACCACACTACCAGTCACTCCCATTGCTTTGCAATCACAAGCCACAGAATGAGAAGTTCTGACTCACCCATGCCATGCCCAGATCTATCTGAAACAGTGTCTCATTAAGAATTTAGAGATCTTCCATGGGCTTATTGACAGTTTCCCCACCCTGAAGGAGAAAGGGGCTTGAGAAAGACCATCACTGGCTCAACTTTAGAGCACTGTCAGAATCAGCATGATGTGGTTTAGCAGTGATCACATCTAAACGGAGTTCAGGTAAATGAATTGCTGCAGAGAACCACATGAGAACATTTTTGTCCTCCAAAATTTATTTCCCAGTAAATATTCAGCAAAGTAGCAAAATGACCTTAAAGATAAAAAAATGATTAGGGAATAGCCTTAGAAAATTTATAGATATAAAAAATTAAACGACAGACTGTGCATTTAATGGACACAAGAGTTGACTCTCACTCCATGTCTGTGGTTTTTTTGAGCCCGTATCGAATGCATGACTATTTAGAGTGCATTTATAAAAGCAAATGGAACTGGACTTTCACTCAACTGGGCTTTAACAACCTTCTTTTATGTTTGTTCCTGATATATTCTGAACCTTAGGAAGAAGGTAAAAGGAGGCGAGAGAATAGTTATGATGAATGTGTATTAAGTGCCTGCTCTGAAGGAGGCAATGTTCTCGTTTAATCCTATGGCAACCTTATTCAACAGGTGTTCCCATAGTTCAGATTTAATAACTGAGGGCCAGAGAGATTAATTTGCCAAAGTCACACCTTTACGCTAATTATTATTGGAATGCATCACAAAAGCCTAACTCTGTGTTGTTTTCAACCTCTAAGTTATTTTGTTGCTATGTGCATTTCTAGATCTGATTTGCTGCTGATTTGTGTGCTGTGATCCACTCCTGATGGGGGTCTACGTTATCTTCCAATAATACTCCTTGCTGATGCTGTGTTATGTGTCATCTAACAGAAATGACTGCTTTGAAATAAGTAAATCTTCGGCTTTTTGTACTGTTGGTGTGATTCAAAGCAAAACAAACAAAAACAAATTTTAAAAACACAACAAAAAAAGATCTGACTTCCAAATAGAACGTTTTTCTTTAAGAGGCATGAAAAGCAACTATTGTTGTGTTACAGTGTTAAAAATATTCAGTTTTCTTTGACAAAAATGTGTACTGTGTAAGCCTTGCAAACAAAAAACAACAAAAAAGAATAAGCAGCCTGCTGTGTGGCATTTGAACTTTTATAAAGGTTTCCTTGTGCCAAATAAGTGCAAAGATTTAATTTACTATTAAAAACCATAAGCATATGTTATAGTTCCAGAAGAATTATTTTGTCATCAAGTGATTTTGATCTTTAGTGTCAATATTTATATTTAGATTAATTTTTATAAATGAAAATATTTTAATGGTTTAAGAAAATGAGGACAACAGGATAATATCTTTGATGACTTCTGAAAGTTATGCTTCCCTTCATGTTATATGCACATTGCCAAGAATTACTGTCAAGAGAAATGATAAAGAAGTAAAAGTCATTTATGAAAATCAAGATTGTGTGTGTGCAACTTTTTGGTAAAGGGAGACTAGGAGTGAGTAGGGGATAGGGAAAGAAGTCATGTAACTGCAGGGGCCAAGATTCAAAGCCTTCCTTCCAGTTACACTGCCCTCCCCTCCCCGGCAAGTTGTCCTGACAACAGGATTTCTCAGTGTCCGCCTCCACTCAAGTGGTCACCCAGCTAAGACCAGCAGTTCTCAAAGGGAAGTATAGTGTGATTTGCCCCCCAGAGAATATCTGACAATGTCTGGAGACATTTTTTACTGTAACCACCAAGGGTATGCTACCCTGGCATCTAGTGGGCACAAAACAGGGATACTGCTAAACATCCTACAATGCACAGGACAGCCCGCCTTAGTCCACTTTGTGTTGCTATAACAGAATAATACAGACTGGGTGATTTATAAAGAAAAAACTATTTCCTATAGTTCTAGAAACTGGGAAGTCTAAGGTCAAAGGGCCTGCATCTGGCAAGGGCCTTCTTGCTATGTCATCCCATGGCAGAAGGCAGAAGGGTAAGAAAGCAAGCATGAAACAGAGCAAGAGAAGCCCAAACTCACTTTTATAACAAACCCACTCTTGCAAAAATGAACCTACTCCTATGATAACAATGTTAATCCATTCAAAAGGGCAGAGCCCTCATGACCTAAATTCTCTTGAAATTCTCACCTTCCAATACTATTGCATTGGGGATTAAGTTTCTAACACATGAACTTTGGGTGACATTCAAACCATAGCAGCCCCCTACAACAAAGATTAACCCAAAATGTCAATAGTGGTGAGGTTGAGAACCCTGGGTTAGATCCTAAAGGTCAACTTGGACATCAGTGGAGAAGCCCCTGTCAACCTCTAGGGGGACTGTGTAGCTGGGCAGAAAGCAGAGACTTTCTCAATCTTCTGTAGGTTCAGTGGAGGCTGTTACATCTCTGAGGCTGGCATGCCCAGAAAACTCAAGCCCACACTGACCCCTGTCATTCCCAATAGGAAGATGAACCTTCCACTAAGCTAAAATAAATGAGTATGTGAAAATATTAATAGAGGCCAAGAGCCTCCTCTGCCTGGTGGCTTTACGCAATAAAGCCAGTACCCCAACATGAGTGTGCGCCAAAATCATCTTTCCAGAGATTCTTATCGAAGGAATCTTGGGAACAACAAACATTCCAACTTGTTGAAAGACAGACTGCTGGGCTCCACCTCAATGTTTCTGTTTTTATTTGTTTTGTTTGAGATAGTGTCTCTCTGTCACCCAGGCTGGAGTGCAGTGGCGCATACTTTTTTCAAGTATGGAGTAAGTTGAGAACAGTCACATAGGAAATCTCGGGCTGTAGACACTGCTGCCAGGCATCTGTGTGGAATGGAGACGCACAGCATGTGGGCAGCACTAACTCCCATGCGGCTTGGCAGATGAAGACACATGGCAGGAAAACAGGTATCCATCACAAGCACCAAGGACTGCTGGGGCACCAAGATTTGTGGTTCAAACTAGAGGCCCAGGAAAAGCTGGGTAAACAGCCCCATCTGGCAACAGGGAAAGGGAGGAAGGGCAGTCTCCATCATTAGATGCCGGCCATGTGCCACGCACTACTGAGTCCTTATACATCAGTTAAGCTTTACAATCTCTGAGGAAGTTCACAGCAACCCCACTTTATACCCAAGAAAATTAGGCCCTAAATGAAATTGGTGAATAGGGCAGCATTTTCTAGAACCAAAGTTTCCCTAAACAAATAGTAAGACTGGATCACATCTGGTTAAAATGAGACTTTTCCTAACATAATTTAATATAAAGAAAATACCTGAGGTTATTAAAACAAAACAAACACAGTATTAGTGGTTGTCCGCAAAAAGGAACACTGCTGGCTGGTGACAAGGACTCCCTCCTTGACCAAATTAGGCTTCTCTGAGTCCCCTTCTCAACTAGGCCTTGTCCTTAGCCTGCCAACACCAGTTTAGGAAGTCAGTTTAGTTAGAACCCCCGCCCTTAATATCTAATCAAGTTCCTCTTAATAGTTTTCTGTCCACTGATTTCCTCACCCAGTCCATTGGCTAAAAATCCCCAGAGATGCTTGCTATATTCCGAGTTGACTTCAGTTATGTGCTGAAGTCTCTTCCCTACTGCAGTAGCTCAAATTAAATCTGTCTTGCCATTTTTAAAAAGTATCCAGTGCAATTTCTCTTTGACAGTGGGTTAAGGTGAAAGGGAAATTTGTCACCATAGACCATTTTGTGCCATTTAAGCTTTGAGTATAAAAACATATTGCCTATTTAAAATAAACAAGAAAAGGGGTAACTTTATTCTTGATCCTCAGCAACCAATCTGTGAAGGAGTGAGTAAATATATAGCAGCTTCAACCGTTAAAGTATCTGCTCTTAAGGAAAAAAAGATGCATTACACTGGATGAGGAAGCCCCATTTGCATAAAATCACTAGTATACGAACCACATCATTCCTATCTATAAAAGCAAGTCTTGTGAGGCTCTCAGAAAAACAATGTAACTGACTAGTCTGACTTCACCATTAATCGGAATGAAATTTGTGTGGGATTGCAGACCAAGATTTTCATACACACATGTACTCATAGCCTATTCTTCACAGCATAAAATTGAAATGCTAAGCTTCTCAGGCAAGAAACATTTGTAAGAATGAGTTTGAATTATACCTTCAGTTTGGAATTGAATTGTATTTTTGTTTGTTTGGTTTTCTCTCCTAAGCTGTATACTCAGAAATGAAAACAAAAAAGTTCAATACGGTCAGGAATATTTGCTGTTTGTCACAGATGAAACCTGATAGGATATTTGGGGAGGATTTTTTAAGGAACTCTATGGCCAGAAATCAATCAGAAGCTAATATTCAGGCTATGCATACACTTTTTAAGGCCATTCTGTTGTCTCTATTAAATCTTGCTTCTCCTGTGGGAATGTCTTACTCAACTGAAATTGCTTTTCTAAAAGCCCTGTGAACTTTACTCTGCCTCTCTGTCCACTTTCTTCCTTGTTGGCGTGATTTTTGACTATTTGAATATAAAGCAAATGAAAAATGTTAAAGATCTTTTCTACAACCAGGCATGGTGGCTCATGCCTGTAATCCCAACAATTTGGGAGGCTGAGGTGGGCGGGTCACCTGAGGTTAGGAGTTTGAGACCAGCCTGACCAATATGGTGAAACCCTTTCTTTAAAAAAAAAAAAAAAAAAGATATTTTCTACAAATATTAAAGGCTTTTTATTCAAATTGGCTTAGAGATAAATGAGTATATCTGAAATTCCTAGAAATATAGGAACTCACCTAAATGCTTTTCAGGTTTACATGACTTGAATAAATGTTTACTAACTAAGACTAGTTTAAAATTGTCGGTCTAATGAGAACATTGGTGTCTTCTGAGTTGTCAACAATACTCATGTACTTAACTGTAGGGTTCTTGCTTTGTCACGACTGCCTGACATGCATGTGCCATCAAAATGGATAATAACAAAATAGCTTGAGATGATGGCAGCTTTGTCTTATGTCTCATGTAATTTCACGTTTGTTCCAAGCATAATTGTTAAGAATGAGTGAATAGGCTGAGCGTAGTGGCTCACACCTGTAATCCCAGCACTTTGGGAGGCCGAGGTGGGCAGATCACAAGGTCAGGAAATCAAGACCATCCTGGGCAACATGGTGAAACCCCGTCTCTAGTAAAATACAAAAATTAGCTGGCCGTGGTGGCATGTGCCTGTAGTCCCAGCTACTTGGGAGGCTGAGGCAGGAGAATTGCTTGAACCCGGGAGGCAGAGGTTGCAGTGAGCTGAGATCACACCACTGCACTCCAGCCTGGCGCCTGGCAACGAAACGAGACTCTGTCTCAAAAAAAAAAAAAAGAATGAATTAAATAGATGTAACTGAAATAAAAGTTTATAAATGTACTTTTTAACAACAATTGTATTTTATAATATGTCTACTTTTAACAGAGTCCCAAATCTCTTTGGTAACCATACCCTTAAGAGTTTTTCTCAGTTAAATTTTAAATCTAGATCATTTCCAAGTAAGGCAAAATACTGAAACATTAATTGTTGAACATAAATTTTAAAGTATATGCATTTCAGCATCTCATTTTCATCCCATATCAAAAAGCTAAACATATTTGAGTCTCTTAATGTATAAAGCAGTAATCCAGATAAGCCACTTGCTCAAGGACACCAGCTGTCTCCACCAAAAAGCTAATGCCAACTCCTGCAGCAAGCCCCCATAACTAATGGTCCTTGTTTCAAAACAGCTTATGTGGACTTTTCCTTTGTGTCTTTAAAAGCTTCCCCCGTTCCCTAAACCCCCCGGATGTACCTATGATCCATCATAGCACGTATATCTTCACAGCACGCATATCTTGGATTGCAATCTCCTGCTATTCCCAAATAAACTCTCTGCTTTGGAAAGTCAGTCTCTCGAATGCTCGTTTTATGCTGACAACTACCATTGGTGTGCCTGGCACAATAATGTTTGCTAAACATTAACAGTAAACAAGCTAACATTTAAATGGTCAAACACAGATCAGGAGTGGGAGGTGAAAGATAACGACATCAGTAGACCATGTGAAATCCTCTCGTGGCAGGCATTTCCCAGCCAGAATTCTGGTTGCCTCATCTTCCCACCACACCCCATTCCCATCAGATGGCAAGAAATGTAAGACAGTAAAGACAGTCCAGCTACGTCCAACTTATGTGTATTGATCTTTCACAAAGGGTATTCTAATCATTGAAATTTTGATAAAACACACTGAAGTACAGGAGACATTTGGTGTGTTTCTTTAAAAATAACTTCTTATATGACAGCCGCTCTATTTTTCTCCCAGGGAAAGTACTCCCCATATAAAATTTGCATTTTACAGAACAGTTGGCTGAGTGAGCCTTCTGTCTCTACAATTGAGTTGTAATTAGGATAAAGTGCAGGTAAATGGAGTTGCATTTTAAATAGCTTTCTTAGAGCTGAAAAACTTTAGTATGCACTTCAAATACTAGAAACCT